ACACTATCTGAGGTCTGACGAACAAAACACAGCTCTTCGCAGTCGAAGGTGCGCAACCTTACGTAGCATATGGCCGATCCAGCACATCTTATTCAGTCTTATTTTACGATTTAAAGGACTAGTCTGATCGTTTGCTTTATATTCATCTACGTAGCTCTCCATACTAGACACGCTTGTGGCATCCAACGCAGGCGATGCTTCGTACGCAGTGGTGATCAACAACCTGAGAATGCCTGATTCCTTCAGATGGAAAAGCCAATTTTGAATCCCGCAGCGAAGGGAAACTTAACCGTGGCCATGTATACGCGGTTCTTAACATTGAGGGAATTCCCGCTCAGACCCATGCATGCAGTTATGACTTGGACGACACATGGCTTGGCGGCATCCGTATCCGAATTCGCCTGTCACTGTGGCCTCCATGGGGGCAGCCACAGGACGCTTGCGCCTACATAGGGACCGTGGGTAGCTTGCGCTGCACCACCCACAGTTCCACTCATACACCCAATATCCTGTGTAAACCCGAAGGAATAAGACCAGGAGGCATGTGGATGGGAGCCAGGTTTCATCAACGGAGCCGGTCCACACTCCTTCAACAAACAGAACGTAAGCATCCCGGCATAATTGGGAAATTATGCATACCAGATGTATACAAGGCGGTGGCTGTGCCGTAGCCCGTTCCACACAGGATGGAACCACACTTTCAGCCTAGCACCGTCACGTGGTCGATGCACTCCGTCCCCTCCAGTAACGACCAACTGTCTCCTGGAGCCAGCAATCGAGGTGGAGGGTATTAGACAGGTAGGTACCTTGTCAACATTCACATCAGACGCAGCCACACCGGGGAGCCCAATCATCTACTTCTGAAATACAAGAATACACATTACGTAGACAAACGTACCACATACGTCGTCTTATGGCCTGAATTAGTAAATCGAATGGGAGCGTACGCATCGTGCTTCCATTCCGCGTGCAATAGTGCATTCTCCTGCACCTGGACAACCGCCCTCTTGATCAGTACACGGAATTCCCACCGATCAACTTTGCCTTGGATTCGCAACACCTGAAATCAACCTTAGTTCGTCATAAGCTCACTTCTTTCATGTCCTGGTAGTGTTATTTTCGATTTGCTCCAATGCCGCTTCCCTGCTCTAAGTTGGCCGTACAAAAGCGGCATGGGTATCCTCGTCGAATTGGCGTCATCCTTGTCCAGTGGCAGTTCGAATACGACAGATGCACATGCGTTTGTCCAAATTTAAGTATGAACTGCTACAAACTGGGTAGCTACATATTAAACCTCATGAACAATAGTATTAAAAACGTGTATGGGTTTCGTTTGGAGGTCAAGCTAACAGCCACTTTCGTAGACATGAGAATGAGTGCCCAATACAAAATGTTGGTGTTTTCCCCAACATTTAGACGTGAACATAAATGACAGCCTTAAATCTTGGGCATCCATATTTGAACGAAACCGATACAGGAATAGTGTACGACACATGAACTAACTTCAGTACCTACAAGTTGCCAATGGGACCGCCAGGATAGGTGAGTTGGTCCATTGTCTCCAGTTCTTCGCCATCACGAACCAGAGAGCTGTCAAGTAGGTTGTGATACCGCAACAGCGCTGCATCTCAAATGTACAGAATGCATACGAAGTGGTAAGAGGATGTGCCACATTATGATGACCCAATGGTAAAACAGTGTCTCTCGCGTAACCCAACTTAATCAAATTCTCCACGCAACACAGTACAATATTGCGCGATTTCGCAAGAGGACATTCCGTGATGAGATAGATGTACGGAAGTGGGACAACTTGGTGTAGTAGTGGTGTCCGACAATTCACCATAGACTCTGACGCGACGTATGGTCAAGTACACAGAATGTTCAGGTATTTCGTGAGGACAAGCATGCCGAAAGGTATGGGGCGATCGAACGTATCAAACGCGGTTTTGAAGTCAGGGAACAGCTATGGCCGGCTTGTGGTACGCGTGGCGCTGCTGTGATTTCTGTTGCAGAACGAAGATCTGGTCTTTACAGCTCCTCCTCGGAAATAAACCCACTTTCTTTTTCCTCGTCCCGAAATCCTGGTTATGCATTAAGGCAATGGACGCGAGTTGAGGCCAGTTATTATTCAAGTACTGGAGTGAGACACACTCCTGTGGCTAGCACAAGCAGTGGGACTGCTCTTCCTATATATTGTCACTATAATACTAATCTGTTGACTGGTACGCTCTGTTCCTCCTGTCCGAACACTTGGGTCAATGCTTTGCGTGCGACGTCACCACAATCCCTAAATAGTACGAAAACGCCTATTTTCTGTGATTACGTTCCGAACTTCAGCCTTAGATGGCGCATATAATCTAACATATCGCTATATATAAATATGACATCATCTGTGATCATTTTGATCGTCAAATTGAGAAGGAACAGAGGAATAATGCAACGTCGACGCGTTTCATTGGTGATAGGCTCACAGAGCAGGTTTTACTTGGTAGCCACATGCTCAGTGAAGTCACGATGTGGGCCGTTAAAACAAGTATATCGCACACGTTTATTATCATGGTCTGCGCAGTGAATCACTGTGGCCAGCCGAAAGGAAGGCAGTCTTCATGTTTAGAACTGTCTGGACGCATGACACTTCGAGTACCTGATAGAGTGTAAGAATCCATCATTTTCCAGGGCGGAAATCAGCTTGGTTAGTATTAATTTCATTCTTAGTAGTAAGTCACTCGGGACAGTGCGATGAATGTGAGTAGTTCGGGAACGCTGCAATGAAACACACAGTTCGATTGATTTCATATATCGTAGATCCGGCACAAGAAAAGGGACAGTGCCCTCCATGTATTTCCCAGGCTGTTCGCTACCCAGTTGGGTCGTTCAGCTTAGTATCGCTACCCATTTTCACAAGTGAATATCAACGATGGGCCGCTCTCACGTGGCCAGCTAACGTTATTTCACCGATAGTTGGAAACCATTGCTTTTCCTTAACATATGCTTTCTTAAAACCTTTAGCGGCCGGTGGCCATGTGGTTCTTCAGGTGTTTGGCTTACAATTCAGTGGTCACTCTTTCTAATCTGCGTAAGTATAAGCGATGTCACAATATCTCTCATTTGATACGATACCATGTTTACTGCACGGTCGGCTGCTCCATAGCTCAACGAAATTACCCACATTAATCCTCGGGCTGTTATTTGTTGGAGCAACGCACCGTCGGCTTATCGTCCTCCGCTAATTTTCAGGTGATTCTTTGTGCACCCAGAACCTGCATTTCTGCCACCCACGGAATCTCACTGATTGGCCAATCTCGGTCGTAGAATCTGTGCATGGTTCTTGTTGCGTGCTAAGAGTGCATGTCTATATCCGACACGGTTAATTTCAAATTTGGTGTCTGAGCGTCACAGGTGAAGCATGGGTCAAGGTACTGGAAAAACTGCTGATCCCCCGCATTTTCACAGACAATCATACTGATGATGGCAAACAGTTTGTCTATAAAGCATGGCGCTGTACACTAAATGTCGTTACTTATCTGGCGCATTACATTGCTTTAGCGTTGGATAATAGATGTAAGAGCGAACGGCTCCTATTTCTTGATTACATCAACGCTTTTGGGAGCATTGATAGACCACTACTGCTCAACTGTTTGTTCGAGAACGGCGTCTGTAGTGTGATGCGTGATTATTTCACAACTCGCACCCACTTCACGCAGCTGTGCGGCATCTGTTCTGTACTCCCAACTAATTATGGCTTTTTGCATGAAGCCATCCTGTCCCCCTTTCTATTTACCGCCTACGTTGAAAGCCTCCCTATTCCATCAAATTTCATGTTGATGACGTCGTCCTGGGATGCATAGCCCCGATCATCGAGGACTCCAACTGGGGTTAGACGAACTAGTGAATTGGTCCAGCTCCCGGTCCCTCTCTCTCTCAACCCTTCCAAGTGTTGTGACGTAACGTTCTGTTTTCTACATCCCAACAGACTGCAGTCCCTTGTACATATCTCTCCTCCAATGATTGTGGATGACCAAAGCATACCTCGCACATCTACCGTAAAATATCTAGGAGTTTTTCTATCTCAGTTTATCTTGGTCTACACATGTTCTTAAAACATTTAAAAATGTTAGAAGGTTGTCTTTTTACGCCCTCAGACTTAAAATGCTTTTCGTTCCCCGTGCTTTAATTCTACGGTTTGTGACTGCATGTATTCTCCCTCACTGGTTGTACTGTTCCCTGGTTATTTTCCCAGGACTGCTTCAAAACGACTATGTACTTCTTGTCCGTTCGCTAAAATTTATTTCTCGTTGTTCCATTTTAGGGAAACGATCATAGATTTCATTGTTAACAAACATTTCGATGCATGCATCCAAGATTTTAAGTGACTCCTTACATCCTTTACACAATATCCTAGCCAGCACTATATCTACCTCGTCCACACGGACAAAATTTAAAATGTCATATTCTCATACCTTGTCGTATCGAAACTCTATCTTGCCTTTTCTATCACGCTTACTAATCGACCCAACAGGAGTGAAATTCCGCTTTCATGACCGCATGCTTGAGTGAAGTTGCAAATTTTCGTTTACCGCTATTAATTGTTATTTCCCTGTGATGCATTGTTGTATAAAAATCCGCAGTGTTGGTGTGAAATTGCGGAAGATGCACTCATACGGGTGGATAAAGCTTACTTTGATCTGATGCTCCGCTCCATACAACAAACACCCGCGGCATAGCGTCGATTGTCGTAAGTTACTCCGAGATCTTAGCCCATATGCATCTGACCGCCTATGACTGTTTCCTGTACACGCTTAATAATACCAACACTACTAAAAATGTTGCCCTACTTCAGGTTGGGCAACCGGGTAGTATCTCGCCCTCTGACGAAACTATGGACATTGTTGTGTTTTCTTCTACTATTTCTGTACCTTCGTTCGAATCCCTTGGTTTCTGATGGCATTATGTCTATTCGTAGACCTTTGCAAATATATATAAAAATGTTGCCCATACAGGATTCGTGGGATGCACCAGAACCAGAAGCCGCGCCCAAGCCGAAGGCTGTCGCCCAAGAGAAGCTACCTCTAGCAGAAAAGATTAGACTTAAGGAGGAAAAACGCAGAAAGGAAAAAGAGGAAAAGCTCAAGCAGCAGGAAGAAGAGCGAACAGAACTATCCATGACAGAAAGACAACGAGAGAAATTGGCCGAAGAGGCTGAGTTGGCACTTCTACAAGATACATTTGGTAATTTCTGACCAGTGCTTCTCTTAGCTCAAAAATTCCCCAGGACAAGCACCCGTCCCCAGCGCCCCGAAAGATGGCATAGACGCGTGCGATCCGGTGACCAAAGAAGAATTTAATAGGCTCAACCAGCTCATGAAAGAAAAGTTGTCGAAATTAGAGGTAAGTTGCCTCTTATAGTATCCTTAAACTTAATTTCAGAAATCACCACATTACTCCTCGTTCGCCGACAGACTCATCCGCGACGCGATCACAGAAAGTAAGGTCTATTATATGTTACCCTTCGATCATCCGTTTCTGTAGTGGATGTCGAAAGTTTGAAGACACTGAGCACAGTCATTTCCGCTTTGGCTGCCGAAAAGCAGAGGCTGGCAAAGGTAAGCTATTTACTTGGCTTACACTCCAGTCGCACCCTCTTGTCTGTGCCATCTAGTTGTAGGTTGCATTGCATTCCTATGTGCAGCCAGTTACCCAACTGGCACACGGGAAAACACCGTCGGTACACAAGCTTTGGTTGGCTGGCTTTTGTGTACCGTTGAGAATGCCCATCGTCGTTGCGTCAAAATAGGTATCGGTACGCCGTCACACCGTACCGTCGCTCCGCGACCACCAAGAGTCGCGCGTAATTCGTGTATCGCGCTAGGTCTCCCGCGCCTACGTGGATTCGAATTGGTGACCTCCGGATTATAATGCAAGCCAGTAATCCTTTCGGCTACTGGCAGCTACGTAGTCACAAATTAACGTGTTATTCGGCGAGGCTGATGTTTCTACTCAACCAAGAGCGTCTGTTAGCCGCCTAATAGATTAGTGTGGACCAACCTGGTAGCCGTAGTTCATCGATCTCAGTGGTAATAACGAAGCAGGGCAGTCTCAATGTTTTTAACAACCACAAGGGTACTAGTCTGACGCTGGTAAGGACAGCTACTGACCTCCATTCTCGTCTTTCTCATTGCCTTGCAATGAGAGTCCTGAGTGAGAGAAGAACAAGTAGATTTCTAACTGGGATGGGCACTGCGTGAACAGCCAATGTAAGGTTTTACGCGCCCCGTGTCTTTTAAGGTAATCGCCCCTAAATGTGTTCCTGTAGACATATGGACGTTCCACGTGCCCAGCACTTGAACAACGGTTGTGTGATTGTCTACCATAAGAAAACTGATTGATCAGCGTCATGCGCACGTTCCCCTCTTACCGTCGGACATTCGCGCGTTTTTAATAAACTGAAGTGATCACATTATCCGCATCTCACATTCAAAGTGCTGATGTGGGACCAATAGCCAACGGTCAGACCTTCAGTCCTGTTGACGACCGATTCGCCAATCTGGGATCTACACTAACGACGATGGGCATGTGATCGTTCAGGTTGGTTCATATATTACAGTAGCCATCTGATTCCCGACTGGGATTTTACTTGGTGTGTAAACCGGGCCGCAGTGAAAGCCGATATTCCCCACGGCAGAGACTTCAGCACAAGACACTGATATACTGCCGTTGTGTTCTTGCTGATGTAGTACGCCTTCAATATATGCTTATCAACCTAGAATTTTTATTTTTGTTTCAGCCCCACATTTCAGTGAGAATTTAACAAATTTCAGTGTTTTAGAAATCTAAAACAGTTAGATCCCTTTAGTAATTTGAACAAAGTCGTCTTATATTGTATCGGCAATGACGAGACAATACATAACTTAACCTCTGTCAGTTTTTGTCTTCTCACGGATTTACTCAGATCTCCATGCCTTTCCGGTTCCTATTCTGATAGGGTAAAGGAAAGAAAAAGAGTAAAGGCAAGCTCATTGTAGAGCGTGAAGATGACTACGACATCGAAGAGGATGGCGTTGAATATGACGATTTTATCTGAGTTGCATATATTCTCTCTTATCGTCTTTCTAACTGCGTTTTGGCCACTGAGATCTTCCTACCGGCGACCTCTCTCCGAGAGAAATCAAACAGTCTCTCTCACGAAATCTCCTCTGTGTATTTCCCATCGGTTGATCCTTTTCTACTTTGATAGCCGACCCCGCGCGGTCGGTGCGCTGATTGAACAATCCCACTCACCTCTTCGCCCCTCTCGCTGAGATATATCACTGTATGTATGCGTTTTGCCCCCCCCCCTCGTGACGTTTCATTTAGTGAAATAAAAGAATGACGTTCACTCAGTTGGCTTTTATTTACATTGTCAAAATGACATCGATTTCCAGACGACTGCATTCTTGATGTCGGTGTTGAGTGAGTCACTAGAATCACTTGCGCGCATTCAACGATTTGTGAGGGACAGCTAAAAAGTAGAGAACAAGCGAATATAATTGATTGACAGCGGATTTTCTCAGAACAAAGAATTATTTGAGTAGAAGCGCAACTCAGTATTTCAAAGTATGTCAAATGTAATCAATGTCATGTGGGACAGTGGCTGGGCATGGCCGCACCAACGGGCTTACCTAATGCCTGAATGCTTTGTAATTACTTGACTCTTAACGTAAGACTTATTACATTTTCTGCCGCCCCAACAACGGTGCTAGATCACCAACTACGTTAGGACGTTTACTGATACGCTTCCTCGACAACAAAAACGCTCTCCACTTCTCTCACTGGAACCTTAACGTGATGCGACAGTTTTCGGACTTCTCTGACTCTATGCTGGGTGGTGCTCCGGGGACCAAGTGAACTACTCCTACCAGGTTGGCCAATGGTTAGAGGTCAGATCAACTCGGTCTCCTGTCCATTAGCTTGAAGATTTGGAACGGCTTCCAGTTCTGCTAAACCAGATCGTTAACATCTTACTGCTGCCTTGCTGACAGGCCTTAAATTTAAGGCTTTGGTTGAGAATCCTAATCGTACTGCCGTCTGGCTTTGGGTGCACTGACAATATCCCAACCCACATACAACAATGACTATTTCTTCAAACTTCATCCACATCTTGTATCGGCCGTCGCGGTTTTTAAACGGTCACCTTATCTGCTGCATAAAGCAGGGCGTCTAAGCAAAAAGGTGCCGCTGTTGGTGCCTATTATCTTTTTCGGCTGTTTTTCTTATACTCCTCCCGACCCCCATTACTAAACATCCCAGTTTAATGGGCAGCATCCGCAATGCCACTGCAGTCCAGAAAACTGCAGCGATCTTCCCGCATCAGCCAATGGACGCCTGTCGGTAGTAACCCCTTAAAACCCACGCTGTCCAGTTTCCCCAGCTGCGTTCAACGTTCGTAATTTAAGACAAATAGGTTAACAGACAGCACTCGCAAGCACACATTTGCGCGTCCGAAATTATGATCAATGATCCTCGCGAGGTTGTTGAATTAACTGCACCCAGTTTGTCCTCTCGCCATTAGTTGTAAGCATTTGGAGACGCTGGTGCGGCAATCAATAGTCGAGTTGGAGTGGGCACCTTTCTCAGCTTCAAGGTCATCGTTGGTTGATTAGATTCCCGTGAGCAGCCGTTTGATGACATCATGACATGAGATAATTCACGAAGTAATACTACTACACGCCGTTTGTTTGTGATTTCCGCTTATGCCTCTACCGCTTGCGATTCTGGTGCTACTGAAACTGAAGTCAATGACAGCTAAACTGGGTGTCCTTGTTCCGTCTCGCCTTTCAAGCTGAAGCCTTGTGTTTGGCTTGAGACGTTCCTGGATATGGCTTGTAGTCAGCATCAGTGGCGCGTCTGCTGTTGCCTAATAGTCGAGCTACCTGTTTAAATTGTGCGCTTACCTTGTAATTGTTAGGTGATCACCGGTTCGAATCCGCGTAGGTACGGGCGGCGACCTCGCGGTATACCCAGCCCACGCGCGTCGGGTGGTGGCAGCGAAGCGTCGATAAGGTGTGCGGGTGTACTGTTTATGATTTCACTTCCGTGCTTATCTGCACTATATGGGTGTTATCGAAACGCGGACTCCATGATACAAGTTATTTCAACTACCATCCGTGGACTGAAGCGCGGTGGATTTGGCTACTTTTACACAGGCAGCTGAAGGATAAAATAAATTATAAACTTAAAACTATGGATGAGAAAATAGAGGGCAACCCAAGATCAGTTAAAGGTTAGGCCTATCGGACAAATTCGTGACTGCACTAGATCAGATGGGTTTTCTAGCAACTAGCGTAGTGGATCACGTGGACCCTAACATGATTGTGTGGTTGAAAGAATTGGAGAGGGGAGGCAGCCATGACGTAATTCATGTGGACCCTTACACCGACCCCGGAGTTCACGACACAAGGGCCATGAAATAGAAACACTTCGACTACCCCTTCAAATTTGGACACTGCTAAAAACAAGTACCAGTGGAATGATCAGCCTTCAACTCAAGGGAAGCGAGCATGACAGGCTGTTTGTGTAGATAGCAGCGTTTGAATATCTGGCACAGAATAAAAAAGTGATCGACGCGATCTCTATTGACAGACAGCCCCTGGTTTTCACAAGTTCTTCTCTCATAGTGAGCGGTCGTGGCGTGCTGCCCGTAAGTAATTTGGAAGTAATGAAGATCACACTAGTACCAGTGTGATTTGTACGGGAAATCTTTTGATCCCGTTTAAAGACATCAGCGATACCGCAGCTACGCTTCGCCGTCACACGACCACGAGCAGTTACAAGTGGTCGCCCGGACACAACATACGTTGTATGTAGAGCCAAACACCTGAGCTGCTTCGCAGCTGATCGAGCAAATAAGTGCTAGCATTACACAAGCAGCCCATACTAATGTTTCGTTGCCACGTAATCACCAGCGGATGCACGCGAGTTGGTTGTCGTCCGCACATACGCTGGTCCAAAGTAGGTGACTCGTAGATCACGGGTCAGACAATTGAATCACTTTGCCACCGGTCGGGCATGGCAGCTTACATCTGCCAGTCACAGAGGATCTTCCGGCGCTAAATAGAGTCGAACAGAGCAACCAAGATAGTCACTTGTAGGTCGTCACAGTCATTGGACGACGTCTGGGCCAGATGTCTTGTTCCATTTCAGACGCAACGACTGGAGTCGGATTTGTCGATTGTGTGTTCAAGTGACCCAGGACAGGCTAAATATCCTCAAAGCGCCCAGCCCAGAATTCAAATCGACGCGATAGATGGTAAATAAACCAACCACGTGAGTCATCTATGGACCCGTGAGTCGAACGGGTTGGAACAGAACTCGGACATTCTCAACTTCTCGATCTCACGGGTCTTCGCCGTCCACCGACGCTTTCGCGCAAGGTAGAGGTCAGATTTCACGGAGTATACAGTGCACAAAAAGTGGCAGCTACGCGCCACGAACCACAACCTATTTGACATTTACGCATATCGATACGGTTGGTATTGATGAGGAGCGCTACACTCGGTAGTAATAAACTACAATTATTTCCACCGGTCGCGAGCAAGCTGTCGGTGGTCAAATAGCCACTTGTGATTGTGTCCTCAAATCCTAGACGCCCCTGCGACCGAGAAGTCCATTGAGTATGCCATCGATGTACAAAAACACGAGTCGCATGTTTGTCCTCTACTTAGGTTTATGCCAGTAACATTGATCCGAAGACGGAAGTGTGATTTACATCTGTAAGCACGTCACTGTGTGGGTATTGATGCGTGATAAGAAAACAGGATAGGGAGTAAACAGCAAAGAAGTCAGTGAAAGTGAATCAAGGCATTCGATTTTCCGAATCAAATGAAACAGTGGTTGTCTCCACTCGGCCTATTTTAGTCCATTTGATGAACTATAACCCGAACACCGATGTGCCGTGGCTCGAGTAGCTCTGATTCCTGCCACCGCAACAATAAGAAGTAACGATGGTCTTCCGAGTGGGAAACAGTTCAGTTAAATGACTATGATTCAAGCATCCACCACGTGGAGTAGATCCATTTATGGCGGTTCGCGTCGTCTGGGTAACAATAATCAAATAGATGAGGAAAATCAGGTAAAGCGTAAGCAAAACGAGTGAGGAAAATCAGTGGGGACGGAATACCGATTGCTGGAAGCAAGGAACCGAATGCAGAATCGCCACTGACTTTGTTGATCTGGCCCATTTTGAAGCTCTCATACACGAAGGCAAAACGTAGCAGCCTAACACCAAGTCTCGGCAAACTTCGGTATGCCTTTTTACCACGTCATCGGCAGGCCACCCCACAGTTTCCACTAGCTAGGTACAGCGACCGCACGGGGTTCACACCGTTGAAGGCCTCTAAAGAGTATACAGAAGACAACCTAGCCAGTGTACGGCGGTTAAAATTCGACTGATTCGCCCCAGTTGCTCACAAGCTAGATAGTCTAACCTCAATCCGGAAAAGCGCTAGACGATCGTTTCGTCCTATTGGGAATCGTCGTTGATTCGTATTCCCTCAGTCCCCCTCGAGGGACCGAACCCATGGCCGCTAATAGCTTAGAGTAACTAGCCAGAGACTTATGCTACTGAGCCACGGGGGGCGGAGACTGATCGTCATTGGAATATATCTCTATCTATCCTCGACTGACATGAAGGTTTCTGCCACTACAGAGGTTAACATTTTGTAAACACTCCGGCGCGATATCAAGGTTCTTTCTATAAAGCAACTAGCTCCTGTCAGATGCAAGAGTAACGTAAGAGCCAATGATCAAAGAGGGCTAATATCCTAGCAGATAAGTGACCATGTTTCAGTTTCATACGAGAAAGGAAACAACAGTTGAAAAACACTACGACGAATCCCCATATAAAGTGACTCGTGGTTTGAAGCAAGGCGCTGCAAAACGGATGTAACGCTGGTAACCAATCTTCAAACGACTATTCAAGGAGTGAGCACGCATCGAGGCGAATCTTTCGAATATCTTCTTGCTTATATGTTAGGTTGTCGCCAGTTTCTGTCCAACTTGGTACCCTATCGGTAGACAAACTAGACAATGAGCAGACACATTAAGAAAGACTGCTCGTTGCGAATGGAGACACCTAGCATATGCAGTGCTTGGTAATTTGCAATTTCGCATACTCTGTGAGTGGCGTCCCATCGGAACACACCAGCACTACTATTCGCCATTCTATCGAAGTCATCAAAAAGAAAGCAGTAGTCGTTGCGTTCCGTTTTACTATAACCAGAGACCGATGATAAAAAAAGCATCCGTAACATGCCGCCGGTACGTCATACTGACGCTCTGCTGCCGACCAATTACCAGCGGTCGCAAGCACCTACACAAAAACCTGAACCGGTGGCCCATAGAC